ACTTTACAAGTGGGCCATTTGTGACTGTTCAGATGCTTTGGCCTACAGCTCCCCTCTTCCCTCACTGTTGTCTTTGTGACTAGGGCTGATGAGAGTTTAGCTGAAAACACTGGGAAGGACACAAGTTGTGCACCCCTATTTAAAGTAATTACCTACTTCATTGTTTTTGCATTTAACTGCTCTCTGACCCAACTGCTCACAATTTCCCTTGTTATGTATAAACAGACATACACAGCCTGCCAATTTAGAATTGCATTTTGTGTGTGAAGTGATCTCTAGTCTATGAAAGCATGTGACGTAATAAAACACGTTAGCCTTAAAATGCCACAGAGCTCTTTGTTGAAACATGAGCACGACTACCGCTCTGGAAATGGTTTGCGTAAGCACTGCTTCTAATGCATGTTTTTACTAAGCTTTGTCCTCATTCTACGCCCAAATATTACCTTTATTCGGTCAGTTGTGTATTATTGTAATTCATACAACTGAAAATTAAAACATAATGTCTTGATTCACACAAAGAAACAAAGAGCCCTCTGCTGTTTCCACAGCATGCAGATTTTTGCTGGAACTTACTGGTCGGACATCATGTGGTTACTTGGGCAGTGCCTTCTCCCAACAATAAACAGGGAGGCGGACACATCACTCAGCCAGTGGGAATAAAGCATGCAGTAATATGTGTGTTGCAAGGGGCCTGAGGGAAGTAGAGATCAAAGGCTGGAAGTAGTCTCTTCCATGACTGTTCTTGCCAGGGGAATCTTATTTATTGTGTTTCCATACCAACAATGGTAAATGGTGATCTTGGGTCCAGATGACCGGAGAAACCACAGTGAAGAATGGGAACCTTAGAACAGGCCACTGATTTACTCCATGGTTTCAGAAAACTGATCCTACCATGCAGGAACTCTGGAACTGGGTCTGGATAACACAACAGATGCACAACAGTAAGATTTCACTATGGCTTCTCATGTCATCTAAACCCACCCAATATTATTCTTAAATGGTCACAGAGGCTTATAGGAATGATTATCAAGTTTGCAAAAAAAGGACTCTGAGAAGATAATCTGTGTTGCATAATATGACAGTTCTCATAGGATGCTAGAGGTGGTTTGCATGACACAGTAGTCCACCATGGGTTATCTAGTCAGTGTGGTGCAGTGGTTAAGAGCATGGGACTGGGACTCAGACGATCTGGGTTCTAGTCCCCGCTCGGCCATGGAGCCACCTGGGTGACTTTGGGCCAGTCACAGACTCTCAGCCCAACCTACCTCACAGGGTTGTTGTTGGGATAAGATGGAGGAGGAGAATGGTGTGAGCTGCCTTGAGCCCTTTGTAGGAAAAAGCCAGGGTATAAATCAAATAAATAAATAAATAAATAAAATTTAACCCATGATGAGGCTGTGGTATGCAGGGTGTACATGCAGCCATCAGTCAGTATCCAGTCCTAGAACCAACCATGGGTTATGGAAGGATTATTTACCCATTGCATAACTTACAGTCTCTGGGTTTATGGATATGGCCATCCATGCTGCAGTCATCATAGGTTAAATAATCCATGGTGGGTTAGGCCATCAAGTCCCCATCCTGGTCAGGAGAGGAATCTAGTTTTAAAGCTTACTTCACAGATGGCTGTTCAGTCTCTGCTTGAATACCTCCAGCAATGGAGAGCCCGCTACCTCCCTAGGCAATTAGTTTCATATTCTGACTGCTCTGACAATGTTGAAGTTTTTCTGGTATTCTAGCAAAATCTGCTTTCCTGTAACTTAAGCTTATAATTTTTTCTTACATTCTATGATGATATAAAATAGATTGTGGCCCTCCTGTGTCTGACAGCACTTTAGGTACTTGAGAAGCACTTTGGTTTCCTACTTTCCTCTTCTCTTCTCAAGGCTAAACATATCCATTTCCTTCAATGCAGAGACTCCATTTCTTATTCCCTGATCATCTTTGCTACCCTTCTCTGAACTTGTTTCAATTTATCTGCATCCTTCTTAAATGATGTTCAGAACTAGACATAGTACTTGAGTTGAGGTCTGAATACAGTACAGAATACAATGGAACTTGGTACTTCCCATGATTGAGTGTGCAGTGCAGCTACACTCTTGGTGCTCAGAAGCCTACAAACTTGGAGCTTTCAATATTTTTATGCTTTGAAAATAGCAGGGCAAGAGGCACCTCCCTGTCCTTTATTCCATGCTTTCTACCCTGCTCCACCCATAATCTCTTCAGCTCATCTACCAAGGATGCTTTGGAGAGTTAAGGAAGGAAATTGAAGGAGGCCCAGTCTAAATGGGATCCTGGTCTCTCCAGTTTCCCTTCCCAGAAAACTGACTCCTCTCTGAGGTCAATTTTCTGACCTCATACAAGGAATTGGCACACTCTATGCTAACTATGTGGGAGTAGAGACAAATATCTGATTCTCTCTTCTTAAGTTGGAGTGCTGACTCCAACCTCAGAGAGAACAATCTGAACTATCCTATGGTTCCTGTAATGCTTACTCAGGATCATAGGATTGCTGTCTTAGAAACTGTTGATGCAACCTGAATTTGTATTTGCCTCTTTTTCAACTGTGCCACACCCTGCTGACTCAAATTCAGCTTGGGATTGACTGCAACTCCAAGATTATTTTAACACATATTATTGTCAAGTCAGGTATCCCCCATCATATACCTGTGCATTAGATTTCTTTCCAAAATGAGTATTGTATTTGTCTCTATTAAAAATCATTCTTTTACCTTCTGCCCAGTTTTCTAACCTATCAAGATCATGTTCAATTTGGTTTGTCTTTTAGAGTATTAGCTGTGATAAATATTCTACCTTCTTTCTCAAAGTCATTAATAAAAATATTGAAGTGTATGGGTCTGAGCCTTGACTTCTAGTGAAATGGAATGCCTCCCTTGTTTCCTGGGCTAAGAAGCAAGTTGCATTGCTGAAGGAATGAACCAGATAATCTAAGGGACCCCTTTTCTCTCTGACAAAGGGATTTGACCCTTTTGACTGGGTCAGTCACACAGAAGAGTTTTCTGCTCATGACCTTTTAGCTGTTTGATTGTAAGTCAAAATCCATTAGGGAATATGCATGGATCAAAGAGAGAAATCCTGGATATAGTGACCACCCCATGACAGACATGGCCATAAAGTGTCAGAGGTCACTTCAGGGATGAAAGACCTGCTAATTGTTTGCCAAAACTCCTAATACTTTGCAAAAGGCCATCTATCCAAGATGGTTGAGTAAACAGTGCTATTTAGGAATGCTGGGGTGAGGTGAGGGAGGCAGGAAAGGAAACAGCAGGGGTTTGTAGAATCTGCTTGATCACCTCCAATCTGTAGCCCTACATATTTTCACTTGAATCCTGCTTCTGCATAAACACAGTACTGCTAGCTCTAAGTATTAGCACAGGGGAGTCTTGATATTTAGACCAGCTACACATGGGCTTGTCCAAAGTGGTACTTATTAAAGCACATACCTAACCAACGGAGCACTGTCAAATTTATACACTGCTTCTCCGAACCTGGTCCCCTCCAGATGTGTTGTCAGACATGGCTTCCATAATTCCCAGCCAGCATGGCCAATGGACCATGGAAAACATCTGGGAGGCAACAGGTTGGGGACAGCTGCTCTAGGAAACCCTCCCCTTTCTTAATTGTGAGGGTTTTTTATGCCTAGGAAATGTGTTAACATGTGTAATGAAATATCATATGCAAATAAAGCTGCCTTTCATTTACTTTGCAAAAAGTTAAACTGTGCTGAATACTTTCATCTCTTACTTAACTCTCACCAACACCTATCCTGCCCTCTGTTTGCTTCCCCTTTACTCCTCTTGGGTAAGAGACATGCCATTGCATGCATACCGTTACGCAGTGTCACATTTGCTTATGTTGCTCTCTTTATTGAAGAAAGCTGAGAAAAGGTTAGTGTTCCGCAGAGCCGAGGCAATGCAGAGAAGGGGGAAATTTATTTATTTATTTATTTATTTATTGAAACATTTCTATGCCGCCCCTTGCCGAAGCCTTGGGGTGGCTCACAGCACAAAATAAAATACAATGAAATACAAAAATAACAATATAAAATTAACAATATAAAATAAATAACAATATAAATATAAAATGAAGGCTGAGGAGTTGCCAAAGCAGAACTGTGCCTGAGCAGGACAAGAGAGTTCCGCAGGTCTTTAGAGCTTACTGTTTGGAATGAGAAGTTAATCCTGATTTAGAGGAGTGGGGCTCAGCACCCATTATTGGAAGGCCTGTTATGGTGTGTACAAACTGAAGGTTAGTTTGGCCTTCAGAGGAGATGCTGCTCAAGGTTTTGCTACCAGCAGACATGAACAGTGGTGCCTTCTCAGTGGTGACCCTTTGTTTCTGAAGCTCTCTGCAGCAGAAATCTGGCCAGGACCCCTTACTCTGAGCCAGTGGGCCTAGAGGCTCAAATGCAGCCCTCCTGGGCTCCCAGGCTGGGTCTCTGGGGTTCTCCGGGTATCCTGACCCCATTCCCTGACCCCGCCCACTTCCCTATCCACCACCATTAATTTTTGTGCTGTTTCCCCATTCTGAAAGGTTGAAATGCCCCTGCTAAGGCATTTAGCAAGCTTTTCAGGTTACATGAAGCTGGTGTTTGAGGCCTGTTGCCTTGGCCTTCAGCCTGCCCACTGCTGGAATATAGCCCCTGAAAGTTTTTCTGAAATGGTACTTAAGCCTCAGGCTGAAGAGCTTTTGCACCCCTGCTCTGAAGCTTTAGAAACTGTGTTTAGAATTACTTTGTTTAGATGTGCTTTTCAATACTGTAGCTGGAACGAGACAGCCTCTGCTGGCTTTATTCTTGATATGCAATGCTTTTCTGCTTTGGACTGTTGTTGATGATGACTTACTGCTTTGTATAGACCTTTTTAGCCACATCAACTCTTTGCTTTTTCTTTTAATTACCAGGCCACCAGGCCTCTCTGTACACTAGCTGGTCTAATGGGTACTGATGCCTGACTTTTTTTTCTCTGTTTTCTACACAGCACATCAATGGGAGCCGGCCAACACCTCACTTTTTGTATGACCCGTCGACTTTTGCCTTCCGATCCCTGAGCACCTTGAATCCTCTGAGCCCAATAGCTCCAGTTGAAGATCCATCATGTGCCTACTGAAGGAAATGCTCAAAACTCTCAGGAATCATCACACCAACCAACTGCCCCATCAGGGACTGGGGCTGGGTGGGAGGGAGCATGTATTTGCAATGCCATCAAGAAACTGGTTTTTCTGTAGTCCAGTTTTTCATGCCACCGTAACTTTGAAGATTGGTGGAAAGGGAATGTATGTGCATTCTAGGCTCATAAGCCATAGTGCAATTCTTATAAAAGAAGTTGCTGGTTTCTTTTACAAGAAAGTTGGTATATTGCCCAAATGAGTGAGCAGCTGCCCATGTACTGGAATGTGAGGACTCAGCATGTTTCTATCATTTCCCACCCAAATCTAGTAGAGTTCTTCCTTCTACACTGGGCTATCCCCTTGGATCAGCTCATTATCAGTATTTGGGAAGATCTCTGGTCTCCTTGTGACCAGACAAATGTGGCCTTAGCTGCTCATGGAGGGTTGTCTTAACTTGTGTTGTGTGACGCTGATACAGGGCTAGAGCAAGAAGCACACTGAGATTTTACATGGTCCAAATCAACTCTAGGAAAATATAGCTCAAATAACTATTCCATCTGGGGGTGAAAAAATGTCCTATATTTTGCCCTGTGCAGTCTGCAGTATAGCACCCTATGCTGTGACTGGCTAGATGGTGTTACCCTAAAGGTACGCAGGAGACTAGAGGGGAAGGGATGAATTTCCTCTCATGTTGGCCCCTTCTGCACATCCCTTATTGAGCTGTGTGAGTGTCACTTCCTTGTATTGCTATCCCATATGGCCCAGCTGATGGTTTTTGAATGGCAGCCCACATGCTTGGGGCCACCCCTTTGCAACCCACATGGGCAGAAATGCACATGAGGGATTGTCATTGAATTATATCTAACCCCCTAGTTCAGGTGGATGTTATACCATGCTCAGGCCCTGGGAGCCGAGGTTTATAGATGTTCCCATCCTGTTGCCTAATTACCTCTTACAGATATGGGTGACGGGACACAGGAAGCAGAAATGTTTTAATCACAGCATTTTAGGGAGGCAATATGGCCGCTTTAATAGGGCTGCAATCTCTTCCTCCCTGTGTTGGTGATCTTTCTTCTGTTTGCCTCTGTTCACAACAGAGTGACCAATGAGTCACATCTGTATAGGATTGGCGAGCATTCTGTACCTTCAAGATGCTTTGGATGATAATTCCCACCTGCTGCAGCCAGCATGGCCAGTGGTCAGGCACGATGGGTGTAGTCCAACGCATTGAAGCACAGCAGGCTGCCAGCTCCTATTTTATAGCATCTCCTCCTCCTCCATTGGCATCTACCATATACATTGAACCTTAGGAAACTAAGTTCTAGCAATGTGCTTTCAAAGTCTTGTATCCAAAGTTGCTCTTAGCTGTGTACTTAATAATATGGAGAAGAGCCCAGGAAGCGCATGCTGTGCAATTTCCATTTTTAATTTTACTTTAAAAACATCTAAAACAATGTTTGAAAAATATGAATGGCCGTAGGGTGGACAATTTTTCTGCTTTCTTTTATAGTTAGGAATTCAGATTTTAATCTGTTACAAAACATAGCCCCTACAGAAAGGGCTAAGCAAACTGCTCTTGTTTCCATTGGATTCTTAAGGTCAGAGGCTTTCTAAGCTGCACTAAAGAGCTGATTCCATTGCCTTCAGTCCTCCATGTCAAGCTGTGCATATACATGCTGGTAGCAAGAGCATCAGGATGAAGGGATCTCTTATTACACCATTCCATGCAAGACTAATTCAGGGATGTGTCCAACTCTTTTCACCAGCATTACTGAAAGAAAATCAGATTGTTGCTCTTTGTCCACTGGGATGAGACAAAAACAATAACAAAGTGCAACAGGGGTATTCCCTTGCTCCTTCAGTTGAAGGAGGGGAATTTGTCTTTTAATCCTGAAGATGCCTTTTTTTGCAGGCTGTTTGGTCAATAATACATATGAGGATCTACAGTCCCTTTAGACTTGGCCTTCCTATCTTAACAACAAGGGCAAATGTAACCTGGCTTTGCCAGTTCTGTAAATTAGGTTTGGCCTACAAATGGTGTGTGTCAAGGCTTTGGGGTGCTTCCCATATAGAAAAGCCTTCACTTTGTTCCACAGGCACTGCAGAATGCTTTATGTCTTTGCTAAACTGGCTATTTTTAATTGGCCTAGAGGATGCTGTCTCGTATGATGCTCCTAGATGAAGGAATGGAGGAGAGACAGCCTCTGTTGATGTTGCCTTTCTTTAGGACTTTTGTAAACCCCCCCCCCCCCGCCCTCTCTCTCTCTCTCCAGTTTTTCAACAAAAACAATAAAGTTACAATTCATGGCAGTTTGTTCTCTCTGAATGCTAAGGTGCTAAAGAAATAAAAAACAACATTTTCATTTTATGGTAGACAGGACCCACTGGGGCGCTGCATGAAAATATTCCTCATTCCACACCAAGGGAAACGAAGCTTGAATGCAATCTTACTATGCAAATTCAGCACAGTCATACAGGCATAGACGTTTCAGTTTTGGCTGCAATAGTGGGCTGGTGTTTCCTCCCAACCCCTCTATTTCCTCTGGTTGGCTTTGATGAGCACCAGTTTCCTCACAGAGAGGTTGTTAGCAACACTATGAGTTTGCAGTTTGGGTCTTTCCAAAGAATTGTGATGAGATCATTGTGAGCAGTTGCATTATGCAATGTCCATGAAGCATATTATTGGAAGCAGACAAATACTATCCGTGGCGGAGGATGTTGAGGAGAACTGAATTATGCTGCTGTGAATGTTCATTTAGAGCAGGCTTATCTGTTGCTGTCTGCTGAAAGTGAGAACAGACTTGTTGTGGGAAGAGGGTTATGGTGTGTGGTCCAGCCGTGCCCAGCCTGGTGAAGTCGAAATGTTTTGATCTAGAACTCCCAGCAGCCATGGACAACATGGCCAAGGATTATGGTAGCTGTAATCTGAAACACCTGGAGGCCATCTGATGGGGGTAGACTGGATTAGACCTGAATTGTAAATTTAAGTGTCTATCTCTGAGCTTCCACAATTCTGGAAGTTCTAGTATACCAGGGATCACTTCATCAGGAGAAAACACCTTATCATTACTGATAACAAATGCACCTTTGTGTCCAGAAGCAGAAGATGGCCAGTTAAAAGATGCTGGTCAACAAACAGTGTGGCATTGCTCTCTATCCTGTGTGTGTGTGGGGGGGGGGGGGGTGAGACAATATGTTACATTTTTCATACCAGCTGGGGATGGCCCTACCTGTTGGGAGTTTTGGATTCAATTTCCTGCTGGGATGCCTTTGATATTTTTAAAATTTCTTTTATATTTCAACTTTCATTTCTGATGGAACTCTGTAGAATACATAGATTTTTTGTGTTCTCCCAGGTGATCTAGACTTGCTTGGTTTCAGTAATATTCAGGCCTGGTGCAAGCTCTCAGTGCCTGAATTGGTGAACATGTGCCGCTGCCTTGCATTCCTTCCCACTCCTCTATTGCATCATTGTGAGAGTCAGTATGGTAGAGTGGCTAGAGCATTGGCCTGGTTAACGGGAGATTCATCCCTCAGGTTGACTTTAGACCAGTCATGGACTCTCAGCCTAACTTACTTCACAGGGTGGTTGTTGTGAGGAGAAAAATGGAGAGAACCTTGCAAGCCACCTTGGGCCTCTTGCAAGTCAAAGAAATCTGGGATATAAATGCAATTTAGTAATAACAAGTTAAGATTGTGTCCCCCACCCATTTCCTCTGGCCAGCTCTATGGAGAACCACATGGCTGAAGGAAGTGGCCTTCCAGATCAAACAAGACCTGGGTGAGATTTCACAAGAGCCCTCCAGTTTTTCCAGCCACGGAGCTCCCAGTGAAGAAACAGAGAGTGGGTGGCTGCCCCAGAGAACCCTGTAGGCTGTTCTTTCACCGTGGCAAATGCCAGGACAGAAGAAGGGCTGGCAGGGCTTTCTAGAATATTCATTGCATTGGTGATGGACCCTCCTGTCTGGGGTCAGCAGGAGCGGTACATTTTGCCCCCTTCTCTGGCTCCAGCACCTGGTGTGGGTGCCCCAGCCTGCTTCCTGGCTGGGCTGGCTCAGACAAGGTTGCTGCTTCACATCCCACATTCCGTCCATGCCCTTAGACTGAGCCCACTATTTAAATGTTATATGAACTGCAGTTGGAGGATAAGTGAAGTATTTGTAAGACTGATGTACGAGCTGTAGCGCCAATAAGTTCTACAGCTGTTTGTCTATAGGAATTCTTTATCTGCCCAAGGACAGCAGTTGTTTTGAACGCCTTCTCTTGTTCAGAGGTTACTCTCTGATACCAGCTTGGCACAGCTGGTTGGCGGTTGAGCCTGTGGTTAAGCAGCCAGGGCAGTTCCTGTAACATATGACAGCAGCCCTCATCCTGTTGTGTCTTAGCTAGAGTCATGCAGGTGCTTCCCCTGAGAGATGAAAGCTCCTAAAATGGGGGAAGAGACTAAATGAAGGTGTAGTTCTAAACCTTAGCTGTCTCATACACTGAGACCTTTCTAGGCACAGAAATACACAAAGTGGGGAAGGAGGAGAAGAATATGTGGACGCTGTTGGAAGAGCTCCATTCTTGAGGACACATGGCCCTGCATAGCTAGTGGTAAGGATTTATGGGATTTGTAGGCCAAAACATTTGGAGGACCACAAGTTGGACACCCTTGTGTTACGGAGATACATAAGGCTGTGCAATTTGCTTTTTTTTTTCTTCCAGTGCTCAAGACTATATCTTTTGTACTTTGAAGAAAAGTAATTCTACACCCCGCTCCCCCAGTGCTGTAAAGGAAAGGTACTTCTTCAAATGGCGGACACAATGGGATCATACCCACTGAAGTTTTTTCTGCCTGTCATCTCAGTGGTTTTTTGGGGTGGTGGGGGGTAAGTTGAAATAAACAGTACTTTATACTTCAGAGCAAGGGTGGAAAGGGTCCTGTTAAGCCATCACAGCCAATAACGGTTTATGGCATTTATTGTGAATGAGTTATTTCCTCTTCAAGGCAGTCTACACCAACTGAGCATTGCCACATCTTCTGTTAGCAGTAGGACAATGAAAGAAAAATAAAACAGTCAAAGAATACTTTTGAATCACTTCTTTGCAACCAACTGAAGCTGGATAGAGCAGGTTAATTTGTGCCCTTTTCTCTTTCTTTGGATTATATGTTGAAGCCACTCTCCAATTCAAACTTAAAAGTAGCAATGCTGGTGGGTTTAAACAAATTTAGCAATGCCATTTCATGCCTGCTTAGTTAACTGCAAATTACACTGAGGTCACTGGGCTTATTGTGAGCAAAGATTTAAAATTTGTTTAAGATGAAAGATTTAATTTTCAATTTATATGTTACTGTTAGCCACCTTGTATACCATTTTTGGAGAAAAGTAGGGTATACGTCTAATAATATGTGAGTATAAGGTTGTAACTTTAGCTTTTCTTTGTGCAGTACAAAGAAACTCCTCAGAGAATATGCAAGATTCTACCCTCCATCCATCCATCCATCCATCCATCCATCCATCCATCCATCCATCACTTTTGTATACCGTTCAATAGCCACTTATGGTTCCCAGAATGGTTTTCAGGGGGAGAAAAGAGCAGTGGGGACAGAATATTGCCCCTACCAGATAGGATGCTCTGAAAACAGGCCTAGACATTGTCATACCAAGGGTGTTGAAATCAGTGTGTATGTGTCGGGGAGGAGACTCTTGCACAAAGCTGTTTATTCTAAAATATATATTTCAGTATGCTGTCAGGTTTCCTAGCCACAGGGAAGCCACATTGTACAGGAAAAGCGAGGGTTGGGAGCTGAAGTCCACCTTGTAGAAGGTCTTCAGGGGGACCCTTCAGGAGTGGGTAGGGATGAAGACAAAAGGGGAGGAGCCAAAGTTACCACTATGTTTTAGCTTTAAGTTCCTGCTGATAAGGAGAGAGGCATTTAAAGCTTTTCAAAGGGGCTGGGTGGGACCACAGAAAAGCCAGGGAAGCTCTGAAGAGTCAGTGGAGAGCAGGATATACATATTGACCCATATTACCACATTTGAACAAACACATTAGAGACTATTCAGCTGTTTCTGTGAACATTTACTTACGTGATAAGGTAAGTTGCAAAGAAGAAATTGGACTTTCATTCAGGAAACCCAATTTCCAGCATGGCAGTGCTGCTGCCTACATGGATCCCCAGCTGTATCCAGTGCTGACCAACGGCTTGCTGCATGTCCCCCAAATTGGCCCTGACACACGGTTCTCCTTTCCAGGAAAAGCTTGCAGACATTTCAAGTACTGTTTTCTGTACAGCCAAGGAAGGGCTGTTTGTGGAATGAAAGGAAGCCAGCCAAGATCCAGGACTCAGACGAAGGAGCAACATGGCAGAGGACAGCCTGCCATGCTGTGTCCTCTTGGCACAGAAGCTGAGACGGGCCAGCTTCACCCGGGCTGTCCCTGCAGCCACTGTGTACAGGCCACAAGCAGATGAGTTGGACTTTAAGAGAGGCGCATGGAGTCAGTTCACTTGAGCACACTTAGAAGTAGAAGTAGCCATCCATCCATCCATCCATCCATCCATTTATTTGATCTCCCAAGGAGCACAGCCCATGCCCTTCTGCTGAGTTCTTCAGCAACTGCTGCAGTGGCAACAGCCCTCTTTTTTCCCCTTCTCAAAGCCATTAATACAATTATTCATTCCTCTTTCTCTGCACTATTGCCAGCACAGGGGGGCAAAGATACATCACCATTAGGCTTGGAGTGTGTTATGTGCTATTAAGTCATTTATGACTTATGGAAACCCTATGAATGCCTGCCAAAGTGGCGTGTCCATGGCAGCCTGCTTAGCTCTTGTAAATTCAAGGCTGGTGCTTCCTTTATGGAATCATCCCATATTTGGTCTTCATCTTGTACCTTCAACTTTCCCTAGCATTATTGCCTTCCCCAGAAAGTATGTATCAATTTAAGACTGACATGCTAAACCCACTTCCTTGCACAAGAGACAGGCTTTGACAAATGCAGACTAATTCCAAATCTGCAGGCACCAAGAAAAAAAATCCTAAGAGGGCAACCCAGTTTCAAATCAGACCAATACTAGCTCAATGCCATAGAAGGTGGTGTAGGGATAATGCCTAAGAACTGAAGAGTGGGGAGGGAAATGGAAGGGAATACCTGGAAAGAGAGGAGGGGACATATAGATTAAAAAGTACAGAAAGAACTCTCTCATTGTCCAGATGGGTCTGATTCTTTTGCATACTGTAAAGCTTAATTTAAAATGTCCTCAGGGACAGATTATAAA